TAGGCAGAGCTCTATCCTTATCTGCAGCCCAGGGGCACCAGGCAGGGATGCGAGGGAGTCCTGTGTGCAGCCACCCAGCCTGGAGAGCCAGCTGGTCCCCTTAGCCACCTGGGGCACTTAGCTGTCAGCAAGGTCTGGCTAGGCAGCGTCTCCACGCTACAGGCAGCAGCTCAAGGGGCCATTGCTGCCAAGGTTCCACAGGGCCACGTGGCAGCAGGTGGAGATCCCTGAGAACAGCCTGTCACTGGGGCTGCACAGCCCACGGGGCTGGCAGGGCTCTGGGAGCCCAGCGCCTGCTCTGCCAGGGTGCCTGCTCTGTCCTCCCGGCTTTGCGGTCTGAAGGAGGAAAGCACGAACTGTTCCCTGCCAATACCCAGCAGCAAAGGGCAGAGGGTGGGTGCTGCCTCTCCTTGCCTGAGCAACACTGTTTTGGGAGGGAGAGGGTGGCGGGGCAGGTGGGGTGCTGGGATAGACTCGCTTGGTTTCTCGCATTAGCTTGCGCTGAAAACTCAGCGCTCCGTCCAAAGTGCGCGCCCGGGCCGCGCTGCAGCTGCAGCTCACGCAAGCACAGTGCAGGCGTGCGGGCTGGGCGTGCGCGCCCCTGGGCTGGCTGCGGGGTCTCCGCTGGAGACGGCACTGCCTGACACCTGGGCGTTGCCAGGAGTCCTGCCTGGACAGGGAGATACCCCCCACCCAGTGCCCCAGCAGTGCCGCGTGGCAGGGAGCGTGGCAGCGAAGCCCGTCCTCTCGGAGCCGCTGTCCCCATCCCCCCGTACTTACGGGGCTCATGCACGCCCGGGGAGTCGCTGAACTCCAGCACGTAGAGGTGTCGGCCCTCGACACTGCGGCCGATGCTGTAGATGCGGGTGACGTAGGGGCACTGGCTCTGCACGCGGAACAGGGCCTGCACCAGCTCCTCGTAGCGATGGTGGAGGAAGCTGAGGGCGGCCGCCCCCTCGAGCAGGAGCAGGGCTCCCACCAGGGGCCGCAGCCACCGCGCCATCCTCCCGCGGCGCCGGGCGCCCGGACCAGCTCCCAGCCCCGGCTCCCTCCCAGCCGTGAGCTTAAAGTGCAAACTCCAACCAGCTTTTTCCAGCTGCCGAATGCCAGCCCCCTGCACCTGCGGGCGGGGGGCGGCGGGAGCGGGGCGCGCCGGGGCCCCGCGGCGCAGGAATGCTCCCCCCGCCTGCCTGCCCGCCGGCGAGCCCGTTCTCAGCCGGGGAAGAAGTTTCCCCCCGCTCCAGCTCACTTATTAACCGGACAGCAAACAGGCCCCCGCAGCCACTGGCTGTCACCGCAGAAGAAGCGCAGGGCTGGAAAACTGGCTGCGGAGGGCGTCGGGGCTGCCAAGCGCACGGGGAGCGGCGGGCGGGGGAGAGGAGAGGGGGGCGGCGGGCGGGGGGATGCCGTCCCCGAGTCCTCTCGTGGGGCAAGAGCCGAGCGGGGTGGGGATGGCGCCAGGTCGGCCTCACTGGCCGCACGACTCCCGCAGCCCTGCCCGGCCCCTGCCTGCCCGGCGCGGGCAGCTCCCGCAGCTCCTCCCCGGGGTCCGTCCCCGGCTCCGCGCCGCGCCTCCTCTGCTGCCCCATCTCCTGAGGAAGCGGAGGAGGCACCGCCGCGGGCTTCGCGGATCAGTCCGATCCTCTGCCCCAGTCCCGCTCACCCGGCTGCTCCCGGGATAAACAGGCAGGGACCGCATCGCCCTCCGCACAGCCACCAGCCCAAACTGCCGAGCTAGGACGGGGCGGGGGGAGGACAGAGCAACGTGGGGGGTGATGCAGGAGTTGTCTGCTGAGCAGACAGCACGGAGAGCTCCACTCGGCGGTCTGGTATCGCCCTGCTCTGCTCTGGGAGCGGGCATGGGAAAGAACTCCAGTAGGCACTGGGAAGCAGGAGATTGCTCAATGGCATAAAGACAGATGAAAATGCCCTGCTGTCTGCTAACAAAGAGTTGCAAACTGTTTCTGGGTGTGGGGGAAGCTAGTTCCTCTCTACCCCTCTGCCACCCTTGTCCCAGTGGCTAACAGACACCTCAGGGTGCCTGTGCTCTGCCTGCAGACAGCGCAGTTGCGGGAGGCAACTTTGCTTTGCAGCCTTGCCCCACGAGGCTAAAACTCCAGCAGCTTAGCAGCTCTGACAGACATCTTCATTAGGACAGCCCTGACACAGAGCCCAAATACGAGCACAAACAGCCAAAAAAATTTACCATCACAGCTGGACAGGCCACGAGAAAGGCTCCCTTTGGTAACATGCTATTCTGCTCTGCGCAGGCCATGCTGGAAAGGAGCTCATCCTGCCATTAGCAATGGGCTTCTCAGTGCCATGCCAAACATTTGCCTTCCCTTCAACGTTGAGGTGGATCCATACAGCATTGCTCCTAACTCTGTCTGCTCTAGCTGCCTTTTCCCCCAGAAAAGCAACCTCTACCAGTGCTGCCCACACCACTGCTTTCCTACCTGTTCTCCACATCAGCTTGTGCTGCCAACTGGTTTTCTACCTCAGTTTTCCAGGAAGAGCAGTGGTAAAACCAGGGAATCCCTGTTGATAGCCTCTAATGCAAACAGTACAGGCTGGTGGGCAAAGCACATGGTTTGCCTGCTCATGGCTTGGCTTACTAAGACTTTCCAACTTCGACTTTCTTCTGCCCCAAGCCCTACTATATTTTCCAATATATATATACTTCTTATATATATATATGTATATATACACCTATATATTTTCCTATATACTATATATATACACTATACTTTCCCTCCTTATCCCTGTGCCTTCTTGGTCTTCTGCTCCATCTGCACAGGCTCCCTCCTCCTGCTGTTTTTGAAAAAGTAACTTTCTGAAGACATGACCAGAAAAAGAAAAAATATTATACGCATATAAAGACAGCAGTAACCATATTAATACCTTCTCCTAGTTAAGCTTCATCCCACCACATCCGTGCTTGTCAGCCAGTCTGAAAACATCACACATCCAGGAGCAGGAATGGCATTGCACCCATCTGTAGCCGGGTAACAAGAATCAGGGCTGGAGGTGACAATTTCTCCCAGCACATGTAAGAAGTGAAGGCAAAGTAGCTGAAGCTGTGGCATGGGCATTGTGGGCATGGGTCTGGTAGGACAGCTCTTATCTCTTCAGCAAGCCACATCTGGTGGTATTTTGCAGAACTGGCTGCCCACATAGCAGCGGGAAATGCCCTCGCCTCCTTCACATCCCTGCTCCCAGGCCTGCTGGGTTCCCATGGAGCTGCTCCTTTCCCAGCCTTCAGAAACGAAGGCAATTGGAAAGACCTGGGCGGCTTTCCAGCACTAGCCAGTGTTACTTGGCAGCCAGAGTGCTAGGCAGGGCTATAGTAAAATAGCACAAGCCCCATGTTTGGTCTGTTCCCCCCCTCCGTTTTCGCTTCCCAGGCTGCTTTCCGTAGCCTGGGACAGCAGTGGGAGAGTTGGAACTGTAGTGCTGCCAAGGGACACATGAGGAAAGCTCTCACTTTCCTATGGAGAAGAGCAACACTGATGTGAGAAACAACACTTAAAAAAAAGAAATGCCAGACCATTAGAGCCTAAAAAGGAGCCATGAGCAAAATCTTGGGTGGGCGGAGAACACATCTCACACACTACTAGGTCTGGAGAGTTAGTCAGCCTTATCCATAGCATAGGGATGGGGGCAGCCTGTTATCAGGCAGCAGGTTTAAAGTAAACAAAAGGAAATAGTTTTGCACAGAAGACACATTGAAATTACCTTGTCAAAGCTGAAAGTTAAATGAATGCAAAAGAGAATAGGATTAATTCATAGGGAACAGGGGCACCCACAGCTATCAGATCCTGAAGCAATCATTTGATCACAAATTTCTTAATGGCTAGAAGAGAAGGCTTATCGCAGTTCCCCAACTATCCCTCTAGATCTTCGCCCCCCCATGCAGCTGGGGAGGAATGCCAAAGCACTGCCTGTTTGATCTGAGCTAGCACGGCTCTTAACACACTCTAGGGAAACGACATCCTAATCCAGTGATAAATTTGGACATGTTTAAAAACAATGATGAAAGCAGAAACAAACAATATAAGATGTTAGAACTTAGAAACAGTGCAGGAAGTAAATAACGACTTAGTTTGGAAAGTATGGCTAATACATCTGGGATGGATCATACACCCCCCCACCCCCCACCCAGATGTTCAAAAATGGAGAAACCTTGAGGCAGTAGGAGAGGAAGCAGGAATGCTCTGTGCCACAGTGGCGAGAGTGAGAGGAATGTGAATGTGAGCCCTGTCCCCTCTATCACTGCATGGCTGGTGGTCACAGTCAGCAAGGAGCTGATCCCTCCAGAGCCAGCCATGGAAAGACTCCATCCGATGGGTTCATTTTAGTTCTGGCCATATTGTTACCAGAGGAAGAATGGAAAATCTGAGGAAAGTTCAAGCTAATAGCCATAAGAATGAGCAAACTGTGGAGAGTTCATGCTGAAAGAAAAATAAAGACCATGGCAAGCATGTTTGCCTTGGCAGAGCTACAGCTGTGGCTGCACACGGAGACACGCAGCCCTGTGAACAAGGGGCACAGGCCCACCGTCCTTCACCTGTTTGGGGGGGTGGGAGGGTGGGCTGCAGTGCCAGCATGATGCCAGTGGTGCCGCCTGGGGGAGGGAAAGGGAAAATGAGGACAGAGGACTGCATCCATCTAGTTATCAGCAGGGGAGAACAAGCTGCTTTGAGGACGTCAGGGTGAAGCTAAAGCAAGGAAAGATGGGGTTTGGCTACTAGCAAGCCTTCCTGGGAGTGAGGCCACCCGTGTGAGGTGCCCAGAGCCTGGAAAAGACCACAGTGCCTTTCCCTACCGGGAGGGGATGCTACCATCCACCGTGAACTTCAGATCTGACCCAGAAGAACATCAAGGAACTGACAAGAGAGGAAATCACATCTCAGGATTTTTCCATGTTTAGTGCCAGAAGCTCCATTCCACTACTGGCAGACTCCCATCTTCTGGAAAAGAGCACAAAAACTTTTCTGGCATAAGTTCAGAAGTCTTTATTATGATAAGCATACAGAGACTTGTGTGTGCATCAAAACAAAGATCCATTTCTTCAGGGCTGGGCCACAGAAAGAAAGCACATGGCCTGGGTGGCAGGAACTGTTGTCCTCAGCGTGTCCCCCCAGCCCCTCCTAAACAGTCTGTAGAGCCTGTGACGAAGCTGGCAGCCCTGCAGAGCCTGCACATCCTTCCTGGCACAGAGCATGGGAAGAATTGGGGTGGAGAAGGAAGGGGTACACATCCGGCCCAGGGTTGCTCTTGGAGAAGCTGAAGAGCCCTGGCCAGCCCAGACACTTCAAATCGGGCTCCCACTGCAGAGGTGATGGCCCCACTTCTGAGAGCTTCCTTTCAAGTGGAGGCTCCCCTGTGCTTTGCTGTAGGGCCAGAGAAGTCAGTTGTAGCCTGTGCACAGAGGAGAGGTAGCTTTATCAGGGAGGAGAGCGAAAGGTACTCAGAGCCTGTGGTGAGGACCAGTTGTTTTCTGCAAGAGGTGAGTGTGCTGCAGGCACCCAGGCTCTCTCCTCTGAGAAGTTCCGGTGGCTTTGCCTCACACCTGACACTTGGGTGAACATGGGAGAGCTCATAGAAGTTATCAGTCCCAGCAAGACCAGACTACTCCTGCACTATCCAAAGCTATGAAATCCCCCTGCAAGGAACCTTCCCAAAAACGGATCTATCAATATTTGAACCCCAAACAGAGACATCTCACCTTGCTGCAGCACATCTCAGGGCTTCCTAGGAGCCCAGGAGAGCTCTCTCTTCTAGGAGAGACCAAGGTCTGGAATCTTGGCAGCTCAGCAGTGCTGAATAGTGAATAAATATTTGCTAGACAAGAACATGTGGTGTTAAAAGATGCTTTACCCCAGAAAAGCAAAACAGTACAGCAGCCAGTGGCCAGATATTAAAGCCAGAAGCTGTCAAATTAGAAATAAGGCACAAATAATTATCAGTGAGGCAGATCAACTGTATTAACAAGAGAAGTGATACATTATTATTGGCATATTTGGACATTCCCTCCACTACCATTAATGGTCTTCCTGCACACATTGGGTGTCTCTGGAACATTTGAGCTGAATACAGCTGGGTCAGATACAACACAGAAGCAAAGAAATGAATATTCATTAAACTTGAACTCTTTGACCAAGGATTTTGAGTAGCCTCTATGAATAAAGTCCTGCAATAACAGGAGAAATAGGGAGAAAAAAAAGTCATAGGCTGTTCTGTGAAGGTTCACATACAGGCAATGATATTCAAGGGTCCCACCTTGACAGGATGCCTTCAGTCAACCAGTTCCTGGAGCCTCAGTCTGCTCAAGTGATTTTTCAAATGGCATGTCTGTTGTCACCTTCAAAATTCTAATTTTGGAGAGATTGATTTATAAATGGGATCTAATAGTCACAAGGTTTAAAAAAATGAAACATATTTTGTATTTATCTTAGCTTGGGGCCCTTAGGTTACACTCCAGTCATATTTAAAGCTTTAAAAAAAACCCCAAAACTGAAACCAAAAAGCAAGATAATTATGATGGGAGGGAGTAAGTGAAGACACCAGCTGCTCACCTGGCTCTGGAATCAGGAGCTAACAATATTAATACTGTGGGACTTGCAATAAAGATACAAAACTTTGTGAAAGCTCTTCTCACAGGTTCTGTATTTGTCCTTTTCCTTTGGCATAAACTCTTAGCAGGGACCAGAAAATCAGACTGGCACAAGCTTTTTTTCCACACCAGCTTCCACATGGAGTTTCTGCATCAATTTCTGAAATGTCTTAATGGATCTGCCAGTTTCCATCATGGACACAACTCAGCAGCTGCCAGATCCCCAAAGAGATCTCAGGAGAGGAATTGCCATTTTGCAGGTTTCCATGCTGTTCATGGGGAGGAAGGATGCACCAGCACGTGTGGGGAACTTCTCCAGGGCCTCTGCTTTGCTATGAGGACTCCGTATGCAAGGGAGGTGGCACAAGATGAGGTGTGTTGCAATTGAGGCTGTCTGGGCAGCAGAAGCAGCTCTAATCACACGTATCTCCTGCATGCCTTCCAGCCACGATCAAAAACTACCATTAGTCTCTCATCTACCTATATTTCCTGAAAAAAAACGGAAGGAAGACTGCATCTCTAGCTGAATCCAACATCTCAGTCTATTTGCAGATAAAACAAAAACTGGTGAATGGACTAACAGTGTGGTGAAGTGTCGTTTGTGGATTGAACTGGATAATCTGCTCGGGGGAATATTCTTTGAACAGTGTGTCTTTCAGTGGAGCTACGTGGAAGGCAAAATAGCTTATATTGGAGACAGTGATGCACAATGTGGGACAGCAGCTGTTCTGGAATGCAATTACTGAGAGAAAAAAAAAAGTTGCAATAGTCCAACTGGACAAAACAGTCTCAAAACTTTCTGTTGAATGAGCAGATGTGGCCCTGAGATATATAAATGGGGAACGCAGAGTATAGATCAAAACCAGAGGATATTACTTTATACACACTATTAATGACTCTACTGTCACTCACTGATAAAAACTTTGGTGTTCCAATTTCAGAAAGATGTAAAACTTTTAAAAGAAGTGGAGTCAAGAGCTACAAGTGAGGTCAGCACAGAGCACTTTACAGATTGAAGATCAACCTATTTAATATGATATAATGACAATTTGCAAGCACCAACAAGGAAAAAGGGATTTTTAATAGCAGAGTTACTCAGTCCTTTGGACTGGCAGAACAAGGTCCAACAGAAGCTGAAGTCAGCTACTTCAGAGCAAAAATAAGACACCAATTTTTGGAAGAACAACGATCTGCCCAAAGCTCACAGGGTAGATTTTTCCCTTACCTTTAGGTTCTTCAATATGTTAGGGCTTCTACTTCCAGGTATAAAGCAGAAATAACTGCGGGATATTTTCATGCCTGAACTGTGCAGAAGAACAGGTTGGGAGAGCATGAAAACTCTGAGTTCTGTGTCTGCGCTTGCCTAAAGGAGAAGGTGTTGTTGGGTGTGCACATCCTGACCCCCTCCTCACTGCCTGCACCTTTGCTTGGGGAAACACGTGAAGGTACATGTTTACTATCCCTTTTTCTCTATAATATCTGCTTTCTTTTGACCTCCGGCACTTACAGGCCATTAGGAGAAGAGATATCCAAGATTTTGTGGGAGGTAGACAGGCACCAGTGGTTTCTGAGTGTTTTTACAAAAACGGATTTCTGACTTACCTCTTCTTTTTTTTCAGACCAAGGAATGGAAAAATGGAAGAAAGTGATTCATAAACCCAATCAATGGCATCATCCTAGTTGTGTACTGGAAGATGGGCCTCAGTATGTGCACTCACAAGCCCTGGGTCTTATGGCTATAGGATAAGCCTATTCCATCAGGGAAGGAAAGGCAAATTTTCAGTAATTTTGCTGATGGAAAGCAAAGTTAACCAATGCTGGTTAACTGCTGCCAGCTGTCTATAACAACATTACTTAATAAACATTTTCCCTAGATTGGAGGCTGCTCTATTATCCAGTGACCCTGGATTGCTTTAGTGGGTCTATACCTACAGGCATGCTGATAACACCAGAGTTCCTGTAGGCATAAGCACTCACTACTGGGCAAGGATCCTTGGCCAGTACAAGCTGTTCCTGCAAAAAACAGCAATGCCTGGCTGGAAACTCGTGTCTTGATGTACCCTAGGGGCATGGGAATGGCTCAGTGCGACAGTGAGCCAGCTTTGGTCCAGCAACAACATCAGAAAGATGTGGGAAAAAGGCTTCTTACCACCTGCAAAAGGAGCTGACAGCCACCAGAGCCCAGATAAGGGCTGATGACCACCAGCACGCTCGGTTTCTTCGTCCTCATCCCTTCTTTTCCGAGAGTGGCATTTGGGAGCCTGACCCACCTTCAGGGGCCGGTCAGGTGCAAGTGCTGTACCCAGCTGTAGGGCTGCGAGAGCTCAGGGCCCAGGGAGGTGAGCAGAGGTGTGCTGGTGTGGTAAGGGCTCTTGGGAACAGCTTCAGCAGAGAAGGAGCAGGATCACCCTGTGTGTGACAGCTCCCAAGAGCTCAGTGGGATGTGTGACCCTGAGATTACCCTTGCAGGAGCACTGGCTCCCAAAGATTGCTGCCACTTTTCTCTTTATAATGCTGTGCACAAGGCAGAAATCAACAAGCAGCAAAGTTTCATTGAATGAAAGTACAACCCATTCAAGGAGGGGACACCAGCTTGTCTGTCCTTGGCAGAGAAAGGTGGCGAGCCTGATGTCCCAACATCTCTCAGTGCAAATGTGAGTCAGAAGAAATAAATGCCCTTGTTGTACAGTCAGTAGCTTCAGTGAGAGGAACTCTGCAGTACAGGCTGCTCTGCTGGGGTCTCCTAGCCCTGAACAGCCAGGGTGACATGGCCCCTCTCCCCTCCAGGTTCTTCCTAAACAACCCCCTTCTGCAGGCACTTGGGCTTGTGAAAGAGAAGCCAAGCAAACAGGAGCACAGACACCAGCACAAGGGAGCACAGCACCATCAGCCCTACGTAGCTGCCATGAGAGAGAGGGGGCAAAGCTGGCTCCTCTGCAGGGATCATGTTGGTCAGGTTCAGCATGTAGCCCAGGGTCCAACCTGCATCACTGCTACCAATCTGAAACAGAAGAGGAGCAGAATCAGCACTGGGAGGTGCAGGGGCTAATTGTGGCATTGCTGGGGCAGTCACCCTCCTGGGGATGAAGGGCCGGGCTGTGCAGTAGGGGTGTGTAGAGTAGAGCCCTCCCCACCACGATACAAACCTTTCCAAGGAAGTGGATCCTTTGCCAGTTATCTTCGGTGAATTCATAGCCATTTTCCAGGAGAGAGAGGATGTAGGCTCCAGAGAAGCAATATTCACTCAGGTACTTCTCTTTGATGTTTTGATACATTGTCTTCACCTAGGGAAGGAGGCAATCACTAGGCTGTTAAACACACCTTCCCACTGCTCCAGCTTGTGCCTGAGCATCCACTATAGGTGCTGGGGGAATCTTTCCCATCTTGCTTTGGAAATTAACCCCAGCCATTTATCCTACATAAAAGTATCAGCAGCCATAGTCTACCACAACAAGCACTGCTCACCTCTTGCCAAGGCCGGGCACAGAAGCTCTCAATGGTTCTGGTCACTTTGTTCAGGGGAACAGGGCTTGCTTCACCGGTCAAGTTCAAAAAGTTCATCACAAAATAGAAAGCAGAAAAAGCCTGAAGGAGAAAGATTGTTTTAATCTGACTGAGCCTCAGCATGAGCAGAACAGCAGAAATCCCATTAAAAAAAATGAGTTTGTTTACAGATAGAGAAGCATAAGAAGCAACATCACACACATAAGAGCAGGTATATTTTCAAGAGTGATGTCATTTTGAGACATACCCCCTCAGAACAGCTGAGAGGTGGAGGTAGGAATTATGGTATCCTGAAGAGCTTCTGTAAGCTCTCTCCTTAACATGTGCCAGTGGCATACAGTGAATGCTGATTGCCATCACAACTGTGATCCCATTTTGGCAACTGAATGAAGGGAGTGTGCAACCAATATCACCACAAAGAGCAGAAGTGATAGTCTGAAAGGACTGTACAGAGCCCCATCATATAATCTGAAGTCCAGAAAACCCCTCTCTGACCATGGCCAGTAGGTAGAGGGCAGTTTATGAACAGGGCAAGCACGTATTAACAGTTCCCCAGAAAGGCTCAAAGTCACTCAAGTCTTGCAGCGCTAGGACTGATGGTCAGCATGGTGTCACACATAATGTGTGTTGTTCAGTGTGCAGTCTCCTCATCATGTCTGGGAAGCAGACAGGTGAGCTGACTGGTTTTAGTAGCACTCAGACACTGCTGGGTGAATTTCAGGTCTGGTTCCACCACTGACCTCAGGAGACAAGGTTTGTGGAGCAGGGTACCCGCCTGCAACAGGCTCTCCTGCCTCTGGTGCTGGCCATCAGGAAGGACTGCTTAAAAATGAATTAGTAAATACAGAACCCCAAGGAGATGGGTTAGAATGGGAACAGTGCAGTACTGGCTGGCCAGTAGTTACTGAAGTAGCTCTTACATGTCTGCTCTCACCACAAGTGCAGCACTACTTTTGTAGGTACATGTCCAAAAAGCTATCTTATAAATGATTTCCTGCCTCAGTCATGAAGAGCTTCTGCTCTTCTGACATTCTGAATTATAGAGAGTTGAAGACTGTGAAGACTCACCCCAAAATCCCCTTGTAATGGAGGTAGGTATATCCCATTGAAGGAGCAACTGGAGTAAGGACAATTGGTTTTGTCGAAGAGTTTCTGGATGTTTTCTCGGCACTTTTGATAATCCCCCTCTCCCTCTATGTACAGCTGGCTGAAAGGTAATTGCTTTTTCTTGTCTGATGTACAAGGGTTTTTGAAGAAGTCACTTATATTTATAGTCCTCTGATACCCCTGGTGAAAGCACGGGTCAAGGAGACTGCTGCTCTCCACGGTCTGAAAGTAAAAATCAACTCAAGCTGTTACACTTCGCTCTAGAGTAACACCCTGAGAAAGAGCCACAGGGAATGGTGGCCACAAAGCACTTGTCATGGTACATCACATCAAGGTGCACACATCAGGTCAAAGGGATGAGGATGGCTTAAGACACTGGCTTTGAGGGGGAAGGTGTGGGTACTGCTACAGCCTCCATCTAGGACCCTGGGCAAATTACTTTCAGCCACAGTTTGTGAAGCTGCTGTTGATTTTGGATTCTCAGAGACTGTAAAATATTGCCTCCCCTGAGTGAAAGTATTGACTGGCACCTCTTTGGGCACCTTGTGCCCAGTTTATATGGAGGACAATGATGTTTCCCTAATCCAGACTAAGAGATGAGGCATTTAGCTGGGACACAGCACCAGTATGCCAAAGATGGGAGGGTCCAGGTTCTCCATGTGAAATTACAGGTGTAGATATACTTGCCTGTAGGTCCCTGGCCAGTTTCTGTTGCAGAGCCTGGTCCTTCCCATAGCAGAGAAAGCTGTGTGTGTACACCTGGTAATCCTTGCCATAGAGACGGAAGTAGAGCTCGTTCTCTGGAGACTCAGAAGAGAGTTCCTTTGATACAAAGGTAATCTGTGTTGAGGCTCCTCCGAGGTCTAGTGCTCCTGATGTCTCACTTGTGGATTTCAGGGAATGCAGAAGCTTTTTCCAGCCAGACTTTAAAAAAAATTAATTTCAAAGTAAAACAGATATATCAGGCATGGAGAAAATTTTATTTTGGAGATAAAAAAAAAAGAGAAAGACTTATGTGGAGAAGCAGAAGCACAGAACACAGAAAACACAGGAAGTCTTGGAGAGGGACATGACATGAGAACTGGAACATGGCACAAGAAAGATGCAGGCTTGTAAATGCATAACGTGGATCACATCACAGTGTTTGCAGGAGGACTAAGAATATAAAATGTAATACAATTGTTATGAGAAAAAGACAGCCAATTTACTGTTTCAGCTCCCAGATGATTTATAAGCTCAATAGTAAAGAATCACTGTCAGACTTTACAGACACAGAAGTATTTTAGATCAGGAAGTGAGAAGGACACTGTACTCAAGCAAAATTATTGAAGATGCTGGTGTTTTATTTCAGTGCTTTAAGCCTGACTACAGTGGTGCAGCCTGATATCACTAAGTGTCAGGATATACTCACGGTAACTGCTGAGGCAAGATGTGCAGCTTCCTGATCCCTGGTAAATGGCTTACAAGGGAAGGTAGTGCTTGCAACAGCTTCTTGCAAGGCATGATTTACAAAGTGCTGCAAGCCAATTATTCAAACATACTTGCTACAGAAATACTACCTGCTTGAAACTGCCCAGAAGGTAATTAATGGTGATCCATCCATAGGCTCCTTCTTCCTCACCAGTGATGATTCTGGCACCCTGGAAGTTGAACGGAGCTAAGCGTAGTGTCGTCTCTACTGAGGACAAGACTTCGTCAGCTGCACTTTCATTCTCCAACCTGGATGAATGGAAGAAAGGATGGAGTGACTCTGGCTGACAGCTCTCAGTAGTCTATGAGCTTTATTCTGCGTAGGCAGGCTAAAACTCCCCACCAAGTGTTAATTGTAAGAGAACAGTTATTCATATGGGTCGTCCAGTTCCAACTGGCCATGACCCTCTCTGTCAACACCTTGACAGCAGGTCTGACACTTATAGACCCTGGAGCTGAGAGTGATACTTGGAGCAGAGACCAGAGCTCTTGTTCTTCTGGAGCATGTGTCCTGATAGGAATTGCACTGTGGAGATTCCTCTCACTCTTCACAAGAACCATTTGAGAAGAAATCCGGAAGGTATCCCCAGGGAGATCTCCCAGGCAATATATACATAAGATCAGCTCTGAGTTATAGCTAGACAAGGGTTCTGGGGCACCCCCATGAAAAACACAAATAAGAACTAAAGGAGTATGTGATTATAAAGTTACCTTATCCTCTGATGGCCCCAGGATGAGTCAAGATATGTGGGAAGTTACAACATGGTTGAGCTCAAAAATTCTGGGTTAGGCCTAATACCAGATAGTGGGGATGTTTGAGCATCCCTTTGATATGGAGAATGTCTAAGCATCAGCTTGGCACTGCTGATCTCCTGGTGTCTCTGTGCTGCATCTGGATGCAGGAGATGATGGAAGGTTGGACTGAGTGGGCAAGCTGAGCAAGCAAGGAAAGAGCCAGGGGGACTCGGGATTCAGAGAGGTCAGCTTCACAAGAGGGTATCTGGGCACAGTGTGAGCTGGCAGTATCTCCAAGGACTTCTCCCAAGAGGCCCCCACTGAACATCCATGGTGATCCCATGTGCAGTGCTGCAGGAGAAGGGGACAGGCCCTACAGTACCTGAGAAGCCGCATGCCAGCAGTTGCTCCGAGGTAGACAGGTGTCTCTTTGTGCTGCGTTGAGGGAATCACCTCTTTTGCTTGTTGTAGGCACTGTGCCAGAGAGGGACCTGCCTTCTCTGTGGCATGGGAGTAACCTGAGATCCCAGGGCCTGCAAGAAATAAAGACACTTCATTGCTCCAACTCCAAGCATAACCCCACAATGCTGCCATGAGCAGGTGTATTAAACCATATCACAGGCAGCAGTATCAAATTCAAACCCCCAATCCTGAGAAGCTTTAGAAATCCTACAGCACCAACTAAACCCAATGCACAGGGGGATGGCCACAGTGCCCAGCATCTGCCACCTGTTCTCCAAGAAGCAGGCTATGAACTAGCGATGAGGACTGCAGTGAAACAAACCATTTCCTGAGTATGTCTTGAACAGCTGCAGACTTCTCTGAGTCTGCCTGAGAGTACCCTGGATCTGCGCCTGAAAATCTCTGACCCTTCACTGTGCTGGGTCCTCCAGGGGCAGATGCTGTCTGTCTGTGTACTTTATAGTCACACTACAACACTGGGTGTTTTGCAGCTATTGCCTTTCACGCTAACCCAAAGCAAAATGCATTGTCCCTCTCTGCCACGCGTCCCCTGAACTGCCCCAGGCCCAGTGCCTGCGCAGCAGTGAAGCCCAGGCTGCACTCGCCCCAGGTTGCCATATGCTCAGCATGATATGCTCCCATGATGTGGGATGGTGCAGTGCTGAGCAGCTATGGCAGCAGCTTGATAATGGTATGGCTCTTCCCTGCACTGCAGGGGCCTGAAAAGACCCCAGGCAGGTCTGACAATACCTCTCATCCCTTCAGAGTGCAGTGATCCATGATGGTCTGTGCTGCTCCTTGTTGTGTGCACCCTTAGGCTTCATTTATGCCTTCCTGAACCATAAAATATCTACACAGCAATTAAATAGAATAAAAAATAAACCGTGACATGCTTAAGTTGAGCAACCTTGGGCCTTAAGCCCAGTGCCTAGCTTGCAGAGAAGCCTTGAAAAAGAGCAAACCATGCCCTTCCCTCTCACTGCCTGATATTCATCAGCACTTCAGCAAGAGTGCACGCTGACATTTTATTTATTTAAATACATTCTTTGGTGTAGATCTTTCCAAAAAGCACTTACTTCCAAGCATTCTAAAAACAAAGGAAAAAGTGGATCCATTTTTCCCCCAGGAAGGTCAAGCATATACAGCTCCCCATGGGAAGAGGTGGGATATACATTAGCTCACAGATTACAAAATAAGAATACTCACGGGATATTCTGAATTGGAAGGGACTCACAAGGATCATCAAGTCTAACTCTTAAGTGACATAACACTGTTTTCAATATTGGCCTCTTCTCCTGGGTTTCTCCTCCCCAACCCTTTGATTGCATTATCTCTTCTTCATCCCATGCCCCTTCCATAGCTCCCTTTCCTCCTCTTACCTTCAACTTTACACACCTCCACCTGCTTCACCACTCCAGTGTCGTTCTCCTTCTCAGCTGGCCACTCGTACACATAGAGGTTAGTGTGGGACGATCCCGCATCCAGCACAATCCCGTACTGTGGGCAAGACAGAGCCACTATCACACCTGAGGCACTAAACCACACACAGTATGTGCTGGCCTCCACACACAGGGGGACCAGAAGCGAACAGCTTATCTGGCAGCTGTGGGAATGTGTGTCATTACTCTTCTCAGCAGTGCTTCAGTGTAAAGTTTCCATCAAAAGATACAAGAGCAGAAAAGCAGCAAAATTGAGACTGATTACTTAAGAGATGATCCCCTATGAAGCTGTATCTGTTTTTACGACAAAGATGTAAAACAAGATGTTGAGGTGCACGGAGCCAGAAAAAGAGGTTAGCCAGACCCAGCAAGGGCAGCAACATGTCCTTGAGCACTATGAACACCTAACTCCCCAGCTTGTTTTAAGAGTACCAGCTTGAAATACCTTAATGTTCTTCGGAAGTGGCTTGTTTTGGGTCACTGCTACAGCAATTAAAGCAATTACAGCCAAAGTAGAGAGGAATCCCAGGATGAGTAGAATCTTTCTTGTCGAGGACATCTTTGGTTTGGTACCTGTGGCTAGAGCAGAAAAACGATGTTAGTATCCCAGTAGCCCATTTTACCTCACACTCCAAAGGTCTTTAGGCACATTCCTGCAGTCTCTTTCCACTATGAAGCCTTTGCCCATCCCTGTCCCATCTCCTACTCCACATACTTGTGTGGGATTTCTTAGAGGCAGAGCTCAGCCCTGGTGTCCTGCAGATGTGCTTTCATGGGCCATGCCACACCTCCATGGTCTGCCCTGTGCCCAGTGTATTTCCCAGATTTATAATCTAGATGTAAATTCAACACATGTAACAACTAAATAGCTCTAGTGGACATACTTGCTCCCACTATGGCAAGAAATCCATTTCTACCCATATTGATGCTCCATGCTCAAAAGCACTGATCATCTGACTGCTCAGATGGATATTAATTTCTCTTTTCCTTATACATAAATACTCTAGGAGATGTTTAGAAATACATTACAGGTCATCCAGGATGGTGACAATACTTTGATGTGAGCAACCACATCAGCTATTGTCACCCTCCAATAAGGTAAGGTGACTGAACCTGCTCTGCATCTGCATGCTAGAACCGGGGTTCCAGCAGTCTCCAGACCTCAGGTGATACCAGGTCCAAATACATTCTGGCACCGCACGTCATGCATGTAAATATGAAAAGCATTCAAGTTCTGATCAGGGCCATCTTCTCACTGCTCTGGTTTTATGTGAGAGGCGGTCCCAGGCGCCAGAACTATATAGTGTTACCTGACCTTACAAATGACCCCAAATCCTAGAGTTAGTTTCAGAAGTTAGCCCAACTGAAAAGAAGCAACACACCTCTGGAAATCTCTATTGACAAATAACGTCTTCCCACCTACCTAGAGAAAATGGAACTTAGAAACGCCAAGAGAGTTTGCTTTGAAGATGCTGCAGACGTGTCCATTGGAAACCTAACATAGACCTGGAGCTCTGTGCTCCCTCATATCACGCTCACATGTAAATCTGCTAACTGTGAAATTTGGAAGCTTGTTACTCACTTTGTGAGTGCCTGTTAGGGGCACAGCATGCTTGCCAGCCAGTATTTCCAAGAATGCAGCTTGAAAAAATAACCTAGGGCACATACCAGACAGTAGGAAGTAAGAATGTATTTTATCCAGGTTTAATCAAAAATGCCCCAGAACTCATGGCTTAAAGTGATTAGAAACAGCAGAGTGTGACAGCTGGGAGACTTTTCTTCCTATTGGAGAGAGTAGCTGGCTCAGGTTATGATAGCACTGAGCATGTCTGTTAAACAAAGATTATTTTAACCCTAGCAAAATGAATAAAACCAGATGCTATAATGTAAAATTAGCTGCACAGTATAGATAAGAAGTTAGCGTGCTTGAAAAACAAAAGTGCTGCTGACAGTTGCACAGCACATTCACACAATTATTGCCACCCTTACTCTGAGATCTTGCCTAACAGCTTTGTTGAGTGTTTACTGTCATAGGAACGAAGGCTGGGTGACTTTGCACAACTTCTATGATTTTCAAATTTCCTGTTGTGATGGGTATTGTCTGACTGCTGTATCTTTTCAGCAGCCACACTCTGAAAAGTACCAGCATTAGCAGCAAAGCAGGAACAATTTTATCCCTATAATGGACCGTTCCAATAAACAGCTGTAGAAATCCCTTGTCTGTAGGCAGAGGCATAATGATAATTGTCTGCATCCCACCTGCAGTGTGAGATCCTTCATTTTTTTGCCAAGGCACATTATTTCCTTAACCCTGAATGTGACTCTTGCCTGAATTTTAGTTCAGTATCATGAGCACTTTCCAGGGCTCTGTGGGTTGTAGAGATGTGATTTCATTGCTGTATCCCATATCAGAGTATCTATCTGTGTGAACTCTTATGCTACCAAGGAGCATTTTGTTGAAATGTTTCATACAGGAAAAGGTACAGAATGATAAGCATAATCCAGAAGGTAGCCTAGCAAAGTAATAACCTTCTAAATAGCACTCAAAGTGTACATAACTGAATACTCAATTATTTAAAAAAACAAACAAAACCCAAACCAAACAACAACACTGCAAATCCAGGTAAAGAATTCAACGTCATAAAAATTCACCTGCCATTTGTTCAGAAAAGTGAGGCATTTCAACAAGTTCCCTTTTCTGTGCACTTAGTTACCTCCATCAGCTCTAGGTTCTGCAGTGGCTAAAGAATGAACTTATTCTCGCTTCCTCCAGCTCCTTTGAATTTCAAATTCACACCGCTGAATGTCATGCAGACACTCCCCAGTGTCCACAAAGTGGAGCAGTACTTGACCGTCTGGTTGCCAGACCCCAGGATTTTTCTTCCATTAGCAGTTTTTCCTCAGTTAAGATTAAGCAGACATGATCTTGCGTCTCTGTGCCCAGCTAGAACCCGAATAGAGACAGATCTCTACTCTTTCTCCCATGCTGCCCTCTGTAAGCAGTGACAAAAACATAAGGCCATAAGTAGGCATAGAAACGATGCTGCTTTTCTTCTCCCCAACCTCAGAGCTGCTGGGTGCTGGAGCCCTGCCCGGCTGCGCGGGCATTAAGCACTCTCTAGATGTTGGAGCACAGCCCAGCTGCTCAGGCATCTCTGTCTGTTTCTAATTTTGGTCTCTTTGCTTTTTTCGTAAGGGCTACCATTGGTTCCATCCAGTGATGGTCTCAAAACACAACCAGATCTAATACCCTTTCTGTCTCTAAGACAGAGAACTGGGAAGGATGTTGTCAGCCACTCCAGCTGACAGCAGTTTTGCTGCAGAAATCCTGTTGCTCTCAGTGCATAACCCAGGAAGGACCACATCAGTGTGGGAGGCAGCTCTCTGTGAAGGCAAGGAAGCAAGTTTGACTCCTTTGTCTTCCAGAGCCTCAAGACAAATATGAAACTACCCCTAGAATGACACTAAGTCACTGGCAGCTCTATATGCCAGGAGATGTCACTCACAGCCAAGGCTGCCCACCTCCCAACTCCCTTCTCACCAAGCAAGACTTAGCAACAAAAGTTAAAAGGAATCAGGCAACCAGTTGCTTTTAGAGATGAAATAAGGAGAGACTAAGGCTTGTTTGAAAACCGAAATTAGGATTGTCAAGGAGAAAAGGAAAGATGCTGTGCATAGTCCAAAGCCATGCTCGATTCAGATAACCTCACTGTAACCCATCATCTCTAATAAATACAGATATTTTTGTAAACTCTGGCTTAGCACAACAGCTAAAGTTGATGTGTGATCTTTCCTTTGGGTGTTCACACTCAATCTGTTACAGAAGAGATCATAAGAGACTGTAATGCAAGGCCATCACTCTTCCACTGCACAAGTGCCACACTGACAGAGACAGTTCCCACCATCACCTTTACACTCTCACTACACCTCTGTATGGTCAGAAACATTCTCATTTTCAGTCTTTATTTCTTTATTGCTAGTCTATTCCTTCTGTCTGTGTTCCACTTTGATCTTATAACTTCTGCAACTCTCAATGCTTTTGGAATTTATTCCCTTAGTCAACTTATAAACAATGATCCTTTCTGGATTTTTGTGTTTCCAGCCTTTTCCATCTACCTGAAGAGCTCAGCAGCACTTCTCTGCATATAGAATAATCTGCTTTTATTTTTCTTGAGCATTCTGACCAGAGCTGCAAGGCTAGCCTTGCACAGTAATGAACACAGGATATGACACAGTCCCAGCCCAAAACAAAGTGAGGTAGGGACCTGTACTACCTCAGAAACATGATCATCTACCATAATGGCCAGAGCTAAGTCAACCCAGCACCTCTGCTATGGAATCCCAGCAAACCCACCTAGCAGAGAGGGGCTTGGGCAATGCAGTCTGTGCTCATTTACTAACTGCAGAGTTTCGTATCTGTGGAGTTCTGTCAGCAGTGATGGCAGGGAAAGGGCATGGGAGCAGTCAGTGCTGCTGTTCAGAGAGGGGATACACACATTATCCTTTTGGTGAGTTAAAATGAGATTTCAGTAGTCATTAAGCTTTTCAGGCTGAATTGCCTGAAAAACTCACCAATTACTCTGTGAGGCTGCTGAACTTGCATCAGGTTTTGATGCACGTTACTCAAGAGGCACTCCTGCCTTCAGACTCACCACAACCAAACATCTGAAACCATAAACACTCAGAAGAGCCACACTCTTTCATTTATCAACCATTTTATGAAATTTCCTCTGTCCCCAACTGACCTCTTACTCATTCTTTATCTGCCTTTTTCATTTAAACATCCTCTTATCTAGGTTACCTAGGAAGACTTTGCGAAGTAATGTAAACCACCTGTTTCAGGCCAACACGTCTTAGGCTGTGGAGAGGCTCAGGTTTGTCTTAGAATATACATACAAGCACATATACAGTAAGTAAATGGCTTTGCTTTAAGAGGGTTTATTTCAAAATCTCGGGGCTAGACACTGGGCATCTTGAAATTAGAATTTAAGCTCCAGATCAGGATTTTTACAACTGCTACATGGAACAGTGTGGGAGACTCTGCTCCAAGTTTTAATTATTCATATGGCAAAGATTGTGGCCTAAATACTGATGTGATCTCTGACCCTCCTAGTAGTGCTATGTAGAATAATAAATACACATTTACTGGATTATGTTTTTCCAGTTTAAATACTTGTAAGTGCTGAAGTACAAACACTGAAGTGTCAGCAAAACTGATAATCCAAACAATGTAATGGGTTTTTTGGATGCTGTCTTTCAGAGACATTTGATACTGAGATCACGCAGCCCTACATGTCTCAAATCCCAGCAGACTCCTATGAATCTAGGCTACACAGCCAGGCAGAGTACTTGAACTAATCTGTCCCATGTACACACATACCTGTGCACTAGTGAGCTGGAAGATAAAGAGTGTGCTTGTCTCTGAGATAACACCAAGCTGGGAGAAAAGCTCACTGACACACAGGACTGGAATTGAAAATAAATTTGACAAATAGGGGAGAGCCTAACTCACTTAAGGACAAGAGAAAATGTGACATTTAGATAACAGCCATCACCCAAAGACAGCGTGGTAAGCAATCTGTTAAGTAGCTCTTCTGGAGAAAACATTATTGCAGCTATAGCAGTTTATAGTAATCCTTCCCTCCATCTAAAGCTGGTAAAGCCTCCTGTGAGGTTCTGTGACCAATTTTGGGCACTGCCTTTGAGGAAACATGCAGACCACTTGGAGAAACTCCAGAAGAGAATAAGAAGAAAGATCAGAAGTCTAAAAGTTTGGCCTATGAGGAAAGATTGAAGGAATTGGATTGTTAAGTTTGGAAAAAAGAAGAGCAAGGGAGACTCATTAAATGTCTTCAGACAAATGACATCTCTATCTGCCAGCACTGTTGTAGCTGATCTGCCTTAGGACAGGAGTGGCTCCTGGACTTTCTCCCAGCTCTGTTTCCTTGGTTCAGAAGGCAGGGAGTCAGCAAAAAGAGGCAAATCAACTCATAAGCTACGCTGTTAGCAAAGGCCAATGCAATGCCTATGCTCTCCTTGTGGGATACAGATGCAGTTGAATAAATGTGTTCCCTCCTTTCCCCAACAAAGCTCCAGGTTGCATTCGAACATAATTCAGTCATGGCAACCATCCTGCTAAATGCTATCCATGTGTACAACAATGCTTGGTGTGGGAACAACTCATCCTTTTGCTGTTTTTAGTGTTGTGACTGGGATATGACCCTGGGAAATTGCACAAGACACACTGGGCAAGCCCTGTTTTCCTGGAAAAAAAAAAAAAACAGCACATGGAAATCCTGGAGAGCTGGCGGGTGCTAGAGGCAGCAAAAGCCGAGCAATGGCATCAAGAGACAGACACAAAGGAGCAGGCAGCACACAGGCCCCTTCTCTGCCTTCCGCATCTGTCCAGAGCACAGAGGGGCTTTGTGCTCAGGGCAGTCCCACGGCCCTGCTTACGCTGTCCCTGCGGTGTGGGTTTACTGCTGGAAAGGCAACGCCCGGGGGGTTCTGGGCACGAGCCCCAGTGACCCGGACTGCCACACCAACAAATCCCCCATTCACCCTGTGCACAAAGCAGGTTCCCCTGTCAGAGACCTTCCCACGGTGCCCTGCAGTGCTGGGTATGGTGCTCAGCCTCCCTGGCTCTCTGCAAGGCACTCACGCTGCCTCCCAGCGTGGCATCACAGCCCATCTCCCTGCTATTATACACCAGCCCCACCAAGCTTTCCCGATGCCTGCTGATTAAACATCTCGGCAGGAAGATACTCTTATGGCTAATATCACAGCAGTCAGACCCAGATACTTAATATACAACCAACAAGTGGCAGGATACTGCTGACACAGTGACCTTTACACAGTTATTTTTCATATTTATATGGTGTTTACTGGACTTCTGTGCCTGTACCCTACTTGTGCTCGTGCTCATTTCTTTAGGATTCTCAATTCAAAGAGGTTTTTCAAATCGGAAAAGAAAACTGTTATCAGTTACATCAGTCTCCTGTCAGGAAACTTCTGGTATTAATTTGCTACCAGCCCATCAAAGCTCTGTTTTAACTGGAGAAGATTTATTGCCATTACCCACAAAGCTTGAAGCTCCATCGGAAAATATCCAGTGAGCTCCAGATGGCTTCCCCTCCTCCCTGGCTTATCAGCTAAGTTATTGCTTGAATATACCTGACTAGCACATGATGTGAAGGCATTTGTTTGTCTTTTGATAGGAGAGAGGGGGAAAGAAAAATCAAGTGCTGACACCTTTTCAGCTTTGTCACTGATAGTTCTAATACACTGACTTGCAATGGGTCAATGGTGCTGCCAGGCTTCCTTTTGTGCTCAAGATCCTTACGTTCTTCTTTGCTCTTCTTAAATCTCTGGCCACGATTTTTTCCTTATGCTTCTTTTGACCATCTTTTACACTTTGCAACCTTAAATTTGCACTAATTTTAGCTTTCCTTTTTTTTGCCTCTAAATATGCAATTTTAAGAGATTTTATTCTTTTTCAAATTAACATAACTTTCAGCAGTTGGATTACGGCTTCTGTGGAAGAGCATAAGAAAAGAATAGTCTCCTTCTGATTAGCATTCCTATTTGCCCATTTTAAATACTCTGCTGATTCAGCTCAAGTTTTTTTTATTTTGTGAAGTCACTTCTTTTAACAACTAGACATTGTTGACACAGAGTAACTGTGAATTGCTTTTGTAATCATTCAAAACTCTCATTGCAATGTCTCTTTTTGTATCAAGACTGGGGCCAACATATATTTCTCTTGAGCTGAAAGTAATGGATTGCAAATTATGAAATTATCACTCCCAGTTTTGAGGAATTACCCTGTCTTCCACTAAAATCCACCATCATATCAGCTTTCCTCAACCCAGTGTAGACTGTCACTCCCTTCTCTGTCTCCAGCATCCTGCTGGTAATGGGCACTAAACCTCTCCTGCTTTGGTCACTTAGTCCCAGTTCAGCCCCAGGCAGCTATTGTGTACAACTATTTAATTATTGTTGCTGTTAAAGACAGCAGGGCCACTGCTTATATTGGAAGATGGGTGATGAGTGAGTCACATTACTAACCCAGTGCAGCCCACCATTCCCCATGTCCCACCAACCACCCACACCAGTAGGGTGTACAATTTGTCATGGAAAAAAAAAAGAGGAAACAGCTTCCAGAACAACCGCTCCCCCCCTTAATATCTACACTGGGCCAGCAAGTTCAGAAACTTCCTGGAGAACACAAAGTCCTGAGCACTGTAAATACTGCTATGCCCCACAGGAAGTTCTGACAGGGAGAAGGACCGCAGAGAAAACAGATCCAAACCCCTCATCACCCACAGAACACTCTGCACCCAGCACTTACAGCAGTGTCGAAATACAAGCCCCAGAAGCCACCAGTTTCCCCGTATGCCTCTCCACTGACGAACTTTCCTGCCTTGGAGGGGCTGAGACCGCCAAGCCTCTTGCCACGTCTCAAAGATGTTTTTCTCTGAATTGCAGATTCCTGGGATCACCTTGTGTGTTGAGCAACACTACTGCTTTCAGGAGCTCATTTCCCTGGTTTCCAAACAAAAAACACAGCTGCCCGAAGTGCCACATGTGAGCAAGCAGAGCCACTGCCTGTGCTTCTGCAGCCAGTAGGAACTCGAGCTTCCCAAGTATTTCTGCACAGCCAAGCAATCAGCTTTTCTCCTGAAGTTTCACTTCCCATCCAGGACCAAAAACAATTGGAGACTGATCACAGAAGCACAAACACTGTTACAAGCTGGTGCAGCATCAGCAGAACCATTGGCAAAGCCCCTGGAGGATGATGCCCATTCTGCAGCAGCCCCGTATGCAAGCACACAAGCTGCAGTGCTTGTCTGTGCCTGGGATTTTCCCTACATCCAGGTTGTGCCACCTCTTAATAGTGTGATTTCCAGCACAGGTATCTGCTGTGAAAGAAGCAGATACCCAGTGAGCTTTTCCTCCCTTAACATACATAGCACCCATTTGCAGCAGAGAAAGCTGTAGGCACCTTCCCTTTGCAACTAATCCTAGTAGATGAAGCAAAGGCCCATGGCTATCCAGGCAAGGCAGCAGTCCTGCTGCCTCCTTTCAGTAAGCCAGGGTTAGGGTTGCATGGATAAAAAAGACAGCACTCCACTTAAACACTTCCCAACTTGCCCCCCTACCCCCAGCTGTCAGCACTGCTATCTCCAGTCCTCTTTTCATAGCAGAGGACAGGGAACAGCTGGAATAGTTTCTGTCTCCTGATGAGGAGCACATCCACTGTCCAAGTCTTGTGGAAAAATATACTGAGTTCTCAGAGGTCAACTTTAATAACTGGGATTCCCACAAACCATGAGGAGAATTCAGCTCATGATATTTGGCATGAATATCATGCTCTGTTCCTCATCCTGCTACAATTTCCATTTCAAAGAGCAGGAAACAAATTATCCTGTGGTATTTCTAGCGACAACCAACGGGAAAGAACATGGGATCAAAGCCTATGGCGGGGCACAGGCCTTGACAAAGTTCCTGAGTGTAAGAGAAGAAATACTTCTTGATGTTACAAAGGTAACGAGGTAAATATGAATCTAAATTTTCACAGTCAGAAGAGCACTTTGAAAAGGCTGGAGCCTCATGCCGACATGTAACAAAAGAACCAAGGAGTTTTGCTGGATGAATGGGCTGGCACAGGATGTTATTAATCTCTAAAGTTCACATTACTTATTACTGGGACGTGCAGTGAATCCCAAGGGAAGAATTAGGCTCAGGAAAAGAAACCCATTTGTAATCAAAACATAGTTTGGTTTTCAATTTGTATGTCTTCATTAATCTTCCCTGCCCCTCCCCCCACTGTCCTTGCCTCAAATATTTCAAAATACAAACACAAAATATTTTTGATAAGGCAGCATGGGCACAGAGGGACAGTCAGAGCAGCCCATCTTTCTGACAAGTGCCCAAGCTTAATCACAGAATATTCTGAGTTGGAAGGGACCCACAAGGATCATCAAAGCCCAGCTCTTAAGTGAATGGCTCACAGAGGATTGAGCTCACAACCTCGGTGTTATTAGCACCAGGCTCTAACCAACTGAGCTAATCTCAGGGTCAGCTGTCCCATCTACACATATTATGTGCAAGGGGCTGCAGCAGAAGCATCACCCAGGGCTCTGGGTGACTGAACAGCCCCCAGGCATCTGCAGAGACTGCACTCAGGACTGGGCCTGGCAAATGGACATCACAGCTCTGACTTCTCACTGCATCTCCCCCAGAGAAGTAAGAGGGGGAGCTCCCACCAGCTGCTCTCCATTCCCAGCAAGGAGATGCAAGCTGAGAAGTTCCATGCTCTTCTGTAACACTCCCTCCAGATTTCCAGGCTCTAGCCTGAGAGTCCAAAGATGCCTACTGGGACAGAGAAATCAACACTCCCCACTGTCAAAGCCAACAAAACAGGGGTTACTTCAGCTGATGAAGCAACAAGCTTGTGACATGGCTGCTATAGGAAAGAGGACAAATCCATAGCACAGAAAGGAGCTACCAGCTGGCTTTGTTAAGATGAGCACAGTTCTCCAGGAGCAGGACTGGCCAGCAACCCCGGGCCCATGCAAAAAGCAGCTACAGGTCTGGTGCTTCCCTCCTGCCACTGTGCTTCCCAGCCTCTTTCAGCACCATTTTCCCTCTGATTTGGGATGGGAAGTCCCAAGCTCAAGCTGGAGCCTACCTTCCAGCCACAGGATCTCCAGCCCAGCTGCAGAGCTTGCAACAAGTTCACATGAGCACACACTTTCCTCACATATCCTGCAGGAGCAGGGACATTGAAATAGTTATTTATTAACAGCTCTGGGACAAACGAACAAGAAAGAAAACAAATCCATTTATAAATCAGCTAAAGAGAAAACTTGTGACTCTAATGGTCTCTTTTGTAATTTCTTAAATGTGGCCTGGAGCTGCCTTGGCATCACTTCTTGTGATGCTGAGTCAGCAGAACAGCCCCACTTGTGCAGTAAATAGCCTGATAAGAGCAGAATAGAGCCAAAGAAGAAATAACTAACTTATGCCACATCCAGATTTTTCTTGGCTTCTGCTAGGATTTGGGGAGACTGATAGTGATTAAATTTCTCACCACTAAATACCAAGCAGTGACTCACATTACCATCTACCTCTGCAATCCAGGATATATGCTTTCCTCTGGGACAAGGTGGAGACAGGATAAAGACAGAAAACTCACACAAGAGCTGTCTGAAAGAACAGCAGTCGGTGCTAGCTGAGCACTCATATAGGAGCGTACCAGTCCTGAATACTTTGCCAGACTTTGTCCTTTGATAACATTTCTCAAGGGGGGGAAGAGAACAAGAATAACAAAACACTGTTTTGTTTAACAGTTACCCATAGCAGAGAAAAGCTGAGCTAAAGTTTCCAACAGTTATTGGGACAAAATTCGAAATTAGAATGCAATGTACCATTTTTGAATTTAAAACTGGTTGGACAGGAGTTCTGTCATGTGGATTGAAAGCTGTGTAATGAGCACAAGGCAATGCATCAAGATGACATTACAGCAACAGTGTTTTAAAATGCTCAGTATAGCAGTGATATGGATGAAGGAGCCAGGGCCTCAAGCAGAAGGGGCAAATTGCTCTGTAATTCATTGGGAGGAACTGTATGTCCACTGAGGACAGATTAATGTCTAAAGTATCTATGGAAACCATCATCTTACACAGGAACAATAAAACTCATAAAAAGACAAAGGAGAAGAATAACTTCAACTTCAGATACTCATAAGGACAACAACACTAATTGAAAGCAGGATTTGATCCTAAAGAGATGGGGGCTCACTTAATGAGATGTAAAGTATGGAAATGAAGGCTAGAAGCTGAAGGAGAAATAGGAGCTCTACACTAACCCTATGGGGCAGATGTGGGAGTCCTAGCTTTAAAATCCATTTATAAACTGGGCTCCCACAGCACCCTTATTCAGATGACTCTCAGCAGCCAGTCTCTTCATGGGTCACGACCAGCTCATTCTTTACGCAGACACAGGGAAAGTCAACTTACTTTGGGTGGGAACAGTGAAGGCAAAAGGCTTTTGAGTAGTTTCAACTTTGCACTTCCCATCACTGAAAGCATCTGACAACTTTCCTTGCCCTCCTGTTTTGTCTGATATTTTCATCCAGTATTTTTCAGCCCTCAGAGCCTCTTACTTCTCAATTTGGAACTCATTATATTTTTGCACCATCGATCACACCAAAACAAAAGCTTCTTAAACTCTGATTACCAGCTATAAAGGAGAAAAAGATGTGAAAGCTTTGTTTAAGAATGGAGCAGTTTTTAATGTAGCTATGATACAGCAAGTTAGTGCAGCAACAGTGCAAGACCTTATGAAACAGGAAGATGATGTTTGTTTTGAAAAATCGTTTGGGCCACACTTATTTTCTCACCCACATGCACTCCCCTTGTACTCACAGGCACCAAGCTCACCCAGGTGCTCTGGCAGGATCCCACGTGAGATGAGACCAGGGGTGCCAGATGTCAAGTCCTCACTGCATCTCTTGGGTTCCTCTTCACTGGCAAGCTACAAATTCTTGAGCAGGTCTTTTGCTGTCTTCAGGAGCTAACTGCAGCGTGATCCATTTGCCTTGAAATCTCATTTACCTGGGACAGGTGGCTGCTCAGTGCCTTTTTTCCCCTCTCATTTTGGGTATTTTAGCTGCCATGGTCTGTTTTCCTTCTGGGAGAGGAGGAGGACAGCTCACACATGGGATGTGCTGTTGAGCTTACTGTGATCTTTCTGTTACTGGAGCACAGTTTTCTTCCCCAAAGAGTCATCTGCACATGGGCTTTATCAGCACCCATGCCTTTTGCTGACAAGCCATCCATGTGAGGCTTATCAGGGTGCAGGCTGCTGGACTTGTCACAAACACATTTTTTCAGCATTTATCCACTTTTAGTGCAGTTGGTCATGTCCTTTGGTTATCAATACAGACCATTCCTTTAACCTTTGATTTGCTGCTGTTCTACTCCTCTCTCTCTCACACACATACACACACACTTCATTCACATTTCCTTCAGGATGTTGAAATTCTGGAGGGGAACAATACAGCCTGTTCCCGGGTGCCACTACCAGACTCACCACAAAGGATTTTAAATAGTTTACACCCAAGATCTACTGACAGTGTTAGAGCTGGAGCTGTTTTCAGTCTGTCATGTGCCAAGCAGCTCCCTGTGACAGCACAGGGTGAGACCATTGCCACCAGTGTAGCGTAGACTCGGTAGCATTCTTATACTCAGGCTGGCATTAACCTCAGTTTCTCCCACAAAGCTCTGGTGAGACAGGATAGCTGCAGTTATGCCATAGCAGAACCTCACAAGGAGGCTTTTGTGCACAGACATTTTCTCATGCTCATGCCACAGTCTTATGAGTCCAGCCTTCTCCCAGCACACAGACACCAAGCAAGGCCGGGACTC